TCCTGATACAGAACCACACTCAGGGCATATGCACACCAGGGCCTTTTTATACCACATTTTCGACCGGATAGCACTCCGGAAGGCCTGCAATGTTGGCTGGCCCGCCCCCTCCCCGCCCTCCCCCCCCCCCCCCCAAAAAAAAGAACAACATGTGTATCCCCAACGCTGAATTGACACGCAGTACAGAAGACAATTAAAATAGTTCTATGGGTTAACACTTTCGTACGGTCGGTTAACACTTTCGTATGGTGGGTTAACACTTTCGTACTATGGGTTAACACTTTCGTACTATGGGTTAACACTTTCGTACTATGGGTTAACAATTTCAAATTAAAATAGTTCTCTTTCATTTTTGGGGGGTTTGGCCAGGAACATGGGCCTCCCCAGTGCACAGAAAGCCCGCCCAGGTGCCCGGCCAGGCAACCCCTCCCTGCTGGTCAAGGCCCCGGGTGCCCACAGTGCCAGATGGAAACCTGTTTTCTTTTGGGGCGCGATCCAAGTCTGGGCGGTTGCGCGGAGGTTCCATGAGCCGCCACGCGCTTTCTAGTTTGTTTCAGGGCCCTGGTAGGCCTCCTTTCTTCCTTTTGAAGTTTTTGTTTGGGCTGAAATCTTTGCCGGCAATCTTTTGTGATCGACGGTTGAGATTTCAGCCCCACAATCTCAGCCACAGGGCTAGATGTTTGTGCACACGTGGCACTTTGCAACGCGTTCAAATTGAGGATCGTCGGTGGTGGCATCAGTCATCATCTTTGTGGTCTTCCCCAGCCATCGCCATCGTCATCATCATCGCCAGACATCATTATCACCAGACATCTTCTTTGTCGTCATTCTTGAAGCCGTGCCACCCCATCCATGAGGAAGGTAAGCTCCTCCTCCTCCTCCTCCTCCTCCTCCTCCTCCTCTTCTTCTTCTTCTCCTCCTCCTCCTCCTCGACCCTGACTTCTTCCTCTTCTTCTTCTTCTTCTTCTACATTGCCTTCCATCTCCTCCCCCTCTTCCTCCATCTCCTCCCCTCTCTTCTCCATTTCCCCCCTCATTCCTCCATCTCCTCCCCCCTCCTTCCTCCACCTCCTCCCCCTTCCTTCCTCCATCTCCTCCCCCTTCCTTCCTCCATCTCCTCCCCTCTCTTCCTCCGTTTCCTTCCTCCTCCTTCCATCTCCTTCCCTCTTCTTCCGTTTCCCCCCTCCTTCCTACATCTCCTGTTCGCACCAGTTGGCAAGTGGTCTTCTTCTTCTTCTTCTCCGCTCTCTTCCTCCGTTTCCATCCTCCTTCCTTCATCTCCTTACCACACGACACTTCCGTCTCCAAAGATAGATAGATATGAAGAGAGAGAGAGAGAGACAGATGGTCAGCCTCCACCTCCACCTCCATCTCAGTAACCACCTCCTCCCCCATCCATACGGAGAAGCTGTGTTCTATTTTCTTCTTCTCTTCCTTCGGAGTTCTTCCCCCATCATATCCACCACCATCTCACCGATCACCTCCTCCCCCCATCGCGGCACCTACCTCCTCCACGGACAGAGAGTTGGTCAGTTAAACGTACCATCTCTCCACCGGCTTCTTCCCAGACCTCTGTGCGTGTGTGTGTGTGTGTGTGTGTGTGTAGGTGTGTGTGTGTGTACAAGTTCTGCTCCCCTCCCCTCCCCTCCCCTCCCCTCCCCTTCTCCCCCCCAAACCACCCTAGCACTTGACAAAGTTCAAAAAAAGGAATACCCCAGTTTTGGACTGATCTCAGTGAGAGCATTACAGCCCCACCAACAAAAAAAAGGGCGGGTTTTCTTGCCTGGGGTGCTGCGGGCAAGGACCGGCCTGAACAAGCCAAGATACCCAGGTAAAAGTATTTTAAAGTTACTGTTCTTTGTTTTCCCGACCTTGTAATTTCGTCTGGCATCCACCGCACACTATCATCAGCATGTTCATCAATGCTGGAATTTCTATTATGCCCAAATGTCGGGGACCTTTTTTTTTCCGCTTTCCTTGCAACGAACCTCTCAGTTCACCACCAGTGAGTGCACACAATCACACACCATGCATGAATACGATCACACGAAGTTCACACTGGAGGCCAGAGAAATGAAGACCAGGTAAGCGCAGCTTAGAGTTCCAGCAATGTATCATACAAGCAATTAAGAGTTTCCGTCACAGGTGCTCAAGAGCGCAAACCCAAGTATCCAGTATCTCCACTCAGGTATGTAACTCTTCCGAAGCTCTTCTCTCTTCCCTCTCGTTCTTCTCTCTGTCTACTACCTCTCTGTGTCTTCTCTCCCTACTTGCATGCACTCACACACCTTCTACTACTCAAGGACCAACTCTGAATACACCCACCGCCAACTCTACTAACCCCTCTGAAGACTACTACTAACTACAAGCACACATGCAGCTATGGCTGTCTTCCCTCTGCCAGCGGTGGTCAGCTATGGCTGCTCCCACTCTCTCTCTCTCTCTCTCTCTCTCTCTCTCTCTCTCTCTCTCTCTCTCTCTCTCTCTAACAGCGCAGCTCTCTGGCTCTGCGCTCCGCCCCTCACAATACCGCACTAGTGCACCAGCACTTCCACACTTCATGCGAATGAGCAATCTGCCGAATGAGGAGTTTGGCCAGTCCTTATATTGTCTTGGACTGAGCTTCAGCTCGTGGGAGCCTCGGCTTCTTGGGGCTTGACTTGGTTCCGGTACGACATCCCCACGGCCTGTCTGCTTTCCAATGTCAGGGCCTGGAACCTTCCCGAATTTTCATTGGTGTGCTGCTGCTTGGGCCTTTGAGTCACGACTTTTCGATTATGACACATGGTTTTGACTGTGGACTGTGACTTCTGCCTTTGGGACACGACTCCTGCCTATGGAATTGCCCTCTGTTTGTGGGATGTGACTTTCCAACATGACTTTGCATTATGAGACATGAGTTTGCCCCTAAGATGCGACTGTTTGCCGGGGGTCTAAATCGTGGAAGGCCTTTCATCCTTATCAGGGGGGGGTTACATTGCACAGGGAAAACAATAGAAGAAACGCAAGCAAGGTAAAGGCAATAAGCGACACAGAAAGAAAGGGAATTGATTTACATAAAACTTTAACAAACTGCACGAAAAGAAGACGAAACGGCCAGTTCATCTTCATCTTACTTTGTCTTGTTTCAGCGCATCCATAATCGTACCTAATCTTGTTTCAGGGTAGGGTCCCAGTGAGCACCGTTGAAAAGTAGGCCCAGGGGACCGAACCCTGTCTGGCGTCCATGATGTTTCTGACCCCTGGACAGGGTTCGGTACCCTGTGTTCAATTCGAATCCTTGTTTCAGGGTAGGGTCCCAGTGAGTACCGTTGAAAAGTAGAACCAGGTCGCCGAAGGTAGAGGTACCGGTTTTTATCTGGGACTGACCTGAATGTCACAGCGCGGCAGACTTTAATGTGACTGGCCGGCAACAGGCGGTTTGCGATGCAAAAGCGTTTTTTCTTACATGAGCTACGGGTTCGGAACGGGAGTAAATGCAGGGAAAAAACTCTGAAAAAAAAAAGAAAAAGAAAACGTTTTTTTAACTTTTTTGTGTTAAGAATCTTAAGATCCTACCCCCGAAATACATGGAAACTTTAGGAGGAAAAAGGGCTGATAAGGGAGTTATCCTCAGCCCCGTGCATTCGTAATGGGTGTTATTTTTTTTTTCTTTTTTTAAAGCAGACGTGTTAATTTTTTTGTCTTAAAAAAAAATGAAGAAAAGAGCACAGAAGCGATAAAGGAGTTATCTGCAGCCCTGTGCGTTCATATTGGACTGTTCTGTGTTATCAAAAAATAATAATAAGGCCTGCGGGCTTAGCTCAGTTGGTTAGGCACAGAAGTTGCATTCAGGAGGTAGTGGGTTCAATCCTCATTGGCCTCATGTACGTGCCTGGGCAAGCTTGGTGTTCTACCAGCTAGAGATAACCCGTTGGCTTTCCAAGCCAGCATTGGCAGGACCTTGGCCAAATATTGTTGGCTGCTATGCAGCAATGATATTCGCCATTAGACACCGCTAATGTGGGGTTGGAGTGGGGTAGGGGGAGGTGCAAGTGACTGGCCAAAGATGCTCGGCACTAGCAGCACCGGTTTCCCTCGCCGGCAATGCCTGATCACCCTGCATCATCGAGATGAGGGGTTGATACAAGCCTTGCTCTCGCACCACTGCTGTGGTGCAAACCTACCCCAAGGGCTGGGGAGAGTTCCGGGATTGGTTGGGTGGTGGTCCCCCCGTACTATACATAGAGTAGCGAGAGGATGAGATAGAATATATGCAAGCGAAGATTGAGAGAAGAACATAGATTACTTTGGGAAAAAAAAAATAAAAAATCGGCTTTGTTATTAAAATTAAAAAAAAGCTATTGATTGATTCATCATATTACCTCACGAACAGGATAGGCTGGAAGAGGCATAAGGAAACTTGTGGGGATAGGGTAATTAACCATCGCCAATTCGCCAAAAGCAGTGTCTAACCAGTTCTTCAGCTTCTGAACGTTATCCAATTTCCTGAGACACAAACAACATAAAACATTTAACGTACATAAAAAAAAAAAAGAAAGAGAACCACTTTCAAAAAAAAGAAACATATAATTTTTTGTTGAAGAAGACAACAATCCTTCCAACATTTGTAAGAATTAATTTAAAAAAGAGGCTACCAGAGTGGCCTGGGGCAAATTGCCCGGCCGGGCAAAAAAAAATAAAAAAATAAAAACAAATATTATTTCTTTTGTATTTGCTATTTCAAATTTGGCGAAGAATTTCTTGTTTAAAAAAAAAAAAAAAAAAGGCTAATTCTTTGAGCCCAACCAATTCGATTACCTGTCAAATCTGGACAGGACGGCCTTTCAGGCCTTTTTTATTGTCATTACAGTATTACGGGGAACCCCGTAGCAGCCACATCCGTGCTCAAGCCTCCAACGAGGGAACATGCGGGAGCTGCACCCACCAGCAGGTGCAATACCTGCTACAGCAGGTGGGCGATACCGGCCAGGGGTCAGCCGGTAGCATCAGGACCGAG